GATTTTCAAAATTTGATAGTATCGTTTATTTCTTTCTAAATATAAATAAGTATACATATATTAATGTATTATTAACTCAGTGCCAAGAGTGCTTGGAATTAGACTTGTGTTAATGGTGTTGAAATGATGGAGAATTTTATAACATACCTTCATAAATATACCCTTCTTTTCCAAATCCATGTGTCAGTATCATTTGCTTGAGGTTAGTTGATATGATGGTCCTGCCGTTTTTAATTGCGATTACCATATGATAAATTTGATAAATGCCAAAACTAATGTATTGCTAACATCAATGTTAAATATACAAACCGAAACTGAAAATTTCAGTTTATATTGTGGCGAAGTAAATTGGTAATCATACGGGGGACGATAAATAGTGATACAAAAATGATTGTACATACGATCACCTGGGATAATAACTGGTGTTATCATCCAAAAGATATCTATGAAGGATGAAGTACGAAGGATGATGGGTAAAAACTGAATGAAGGTGAAAAGGTATAAAAGAAGTAGCAATCTCTCAGAGTCTTGGCAGTCATAGTAGTTTCTTTGACTTCAGTTAATTAATAATTACGCATAGTTTTGAACATTAGAGTTATTAGATAGAAAAGTAAACTTCCTTTAGGGACAGTAAAATAGACACGCTACCCATCATAACATTTCTGTTGTTAAATGGTACTTTACTTTTAAATTTGTACCCTTATATTTTAATAAACTTATCTTTGTATCACGATATTGCGAAATATTGTTAGATATTATTTGATACTGTTTTATCAATTTTACTCCACCTTACTCACTGAGCCTTCAGATTAAAAATAAAGAATTATATTATATTTATTATCTGTTTTGAGATAGGCAAGTTTAGGTCAGCTGATTGCTTTACCTACTGGCAGATAGAGTGTATTTAAAAAAGTAGTTTGTGAAAGACAAACTTTGAGACTGATAGGTGAAAGTGTTCGAAATACTCTGCACTTTAGTGACAATATATTTATTACCGTGTTTCACACCCTTCGTAATAACCATGGTGATGATATTTTCTCAAATCTTCCCAAAGAACTTTATCATAATATAATTGAAAACATCAAACAATGGATCTTATTGTTATTACTTTGGAAATTATATCTATTTTTAATATACTTTATTCATTGGATTGAATTGAATTGTATTCATTTTGTATTCTTGAATAATAAGAACTTTTAAATAAACAAATAATTAATATTTTCAAGCTTTAATTAATAATAATTATAATATTATCATACATAATAGTCGGGCAAAAGAATTTATGAAATATTAAAATATAATGATTGCGTTTAGCACTTGATGTGTCAAAGTTAATATCCCAAGAAAGTGAGAATAAAAGTTAAAAAAAATGTCAAAAGAAAGATATTGAAAGAAATGAGAAAAGAAAGAAGAATTTGAATATGGAATTTGAAGGAAATAGTAACGCATATAGTAGAAATATCAAAATGAATCACATATTTACAGTTGTATCATTCCATTAAATATAGTGATGTTTGAATTTATTTAATAAATAGATTTGAAATATAGAGTATAAATATTATTATCGAATTGGAATTTATTTTTTAATCATCTTAAATACTTCATAATCAACAATAGAAAATCTTTCATCTGTTGTTCTAATAGGTTTTTCATAATAAGGAAAAAGGCCATTACGACATCCACATTCTTTATCTTGAGTAAAATCAGAAACATCTGATTTCATTACAAATTCATAATTTCCAAAATCCGGACCATATGCATTAGTATTATTATAGTAAAGAGCTAAACTATTAATTACAACCCGACTGAGAATTGAATCTTTTATATTACCATTTTTCAATGAAAAAATGAAACTATCATTTGTTTTCATAAAAGCACCTTTTGTTGAATCATCCCAAGCCAAAGGATTATAACCACCAACTATTTCGTCAGTTCCTGTAACTTTTGCAATCACAACTGTGCCAGCATGCCCATTACACATGTTCCAAAACGTCTTGGGTTGAAAATTATCTCTACTTCCTCGAAGAATTAATTGAAATTCATAAGGAATATTTGCTAAAGAATAAATAGTTGATTTTCGATCAATCCATGATGAAAGTTCTGCAACGTGTTCTTTATTGATTATAGTTGAGAATGGTTCATTCACTCTTGGTGGCAATTTAGGAGTTGAAATGATTCTCGCTGGCAAAACAAGGGATTTGACAGGTTGATTTGGAAACATAAAATATTGAGTCAAGTCATCCCAAAGTTGTTCTTCAAGGATTTTTTTATATGGCTTTACTTTCTTCCAAATAACTTCACCGGGAACATGAAAATATCGAATAAGTGGTAAACATTGCTGTAGAGTTATTTTCAAAGTCTCGAAATTTTCATTAGACCATTCTTTTAAATCAGCAGGTAAAGTAGGATTTTGTGCAATTCCCCATTTAATAACGTAATCCCAAATTTTAATTTCTTCAACTTGCAAATCATCTCTTTTCAAAATAGAAATCAATGCTGTTTCTTGGCGTGAAGTGAAATCCTCTGAATCAAAAATCAAATTTGGATATTTTACAATAATATCGTTATAAAATTTTTTCAAACCATCAAATTCATTACTATCAAAGATCGAATGATAAACAAAGGAGAAGTGAGTTTTTAACCAAGAAGCTTTAAATTCGATAAGATAACTTTCTAATTTTACTGATAGTTCTTTAAGTTCCAATTCATTAGCATTGACCATTAATTCGTAAATTGTTTTAGTATCTGCATTTTCAATATTAGCAATTCCACCATAGATATATCTATAATAATAAAATGTATTTTATTTTATTAGTTTTGAGCCATAAAATTATTAATTTGTGATAGCTAGAAACGGAAAGGATATATATAATGGATTTCGGGGTAACTTTTCTCAATTATACATAAAAATTAAATCAATTTTTTTAATCGTTAAAAAAAAAAATCATATCTTTATATTTTATTGGTGTTGTCACTTGAAACTAAAAATATGTTTAAATCACAACCATTTCTTTTTATGATGTTAATGAAGAAGAGGCTTTTATAAGATAGTTCTTTTGATATTCTTATTTCGGAACGAAGATTATGGTTCTTATATGTAGATCTCTTTACGAAATAATTTAATATTCAGAGTAATAAATAATTTTTAACTTACTTAAGAATAATTTCAAATATTTGAGCAGAAATATTTGGCTGAATAATTGTTTTAATATTATTTTTATTCACGGTAGCCTTCTCCAATTCTTTATCAAAGTAGGATGAACGATAACGTAAGACAACCGAATGTGTAGTAAAAGATTTCTTATTTCCTTCTTTGTCAACTTCGATGACAACATTATATTCTTTTTTGTCATTAAGAAGTTCTGAAAAATCTTGAGATAATTTGTCAAAAAATATTAAAGTCATTTTTTTTTATTTTAAAAATTCCAAGACTGCGCAATATGTAAACCTCCGTTGTGCAAATTCTTGTACAATTTATGATTTTTCTTATATGGTAATATCATTAAATAGACATTTTGTTAAACGTAACAAGGTTTGCGTTGTACAAAGTGCAGTGAGCTACGAATAGGAGTCGATTGTTTGTTAAAAATTAAAAATTTGTTATACGAAATTTTATTTAAATAAAATTTATTATTTATTGATCCGATTTGTGAAAACTTAACTATAAGGTTTATAAATTTAAAGATTTATTGTAAATTCTGTAATCCTCTAGCGTGCATTATGTTTAATATTTTGTATTTATTTAGAGCAGCTTTTGGCGATATCAAGTAGTTATAGTCAAAGTTCATAATACGGAGGTTTTGCCATGAAGTTGCCTTGCACTTTATGAGCAGTGAGGGCAGAGGCATTTTGGAGTGGAAATTGTTTTCTTCCATTTATACTAAAATAACAGTTTCTTTTGGACAATAACTTTACTTAAGTTTGTAAAGGTAGAATCAACATTTTTTTTACCAGTCACTTCATTATAGAGTCTATTGGATATTAGAAAACTTTGTTTTCCAACTTCATTATTAGATTTATAGGAATTAGTTACAGCAGGAGCAGAATAAATTAAAGGGGGGAAGATCTTCTTGTGCATTTGCAGAATCATCTGAAGAGTACGAAATTGGGACAGTCTGAATTAAGGTAACCTTAGATCTGTTAAAAGGATAAGGATTAATATGTAATTCTCTAAGATTCTACATTTTAAGTAATGAGATTTGATACATACATATTCAACATTTTTGTCATAAACATATCTTCCGATCATAAGTACAATAGCATCTTTTTCTCTAAATTTTTCTTCATCAACTTTTATTTGATATAAGGTACTTCCAGATATATTCTTTTCGTTTCCTGTGATGGTTTTGATAAAGCGGAATGATACGAATACAGAAGAAGATTTTGATTATCTTTTCATTTATACAAAAGTGAGAATGGTGTATGATGAGTAATCTTATTTATTGTTTTTTATTGTTTTTTTATGATATATATAAATAATTTTCTAATCAAAATTTATTGATTTTTTTTCCTAGGTAGGATTTTTTGATTATTTTAATCTGTGGGAAAGCCATCACTTTTTTTTATCTAATCAGTCCATTGTGATTCTGTTCCTTTTTTTTTGGTCTACTCAGGTGAATAAATTTATAATCACCTTAAATTGAATATCAAGGTAATTTTGTGAAATGTTAAAATTAAAAATTAAAATTTTCTTTAAAACTTTTCAAATTGACAAGGTGTATTCTATGACAAGAGCGTTACAGTTGATGCGAAAAAGATATAAAACTTCCACCTTTATCATTTTTATTTTAATATTTTAATTGTTAAATTTTTTCAATAATCATTTTTTTTTGAATATTTGTTATTAACTCGATTATTTTAAATATTGCTTACAATGATTGTTGAATCGTTTGAATTTACAATGAACATTATTATCAAGTGCCTGTGTAAGTGCAACAAAACGTAAAAACAGAAATTAGTGTTTTTTATTATTGTTACATATAAGGAAATCATGCGTTACTCTAACTTGTGATAGCAATAAGATTTATACACATATAACCAGTAGATATTAAAAGCTCCGGTATCGTTAACCCTTGAAGACACTGCGGAGTTGTTCCAATCCACATATTTGCTAACGAAAAGATCGGAGTGTTACCTGCATCTAGCGATCGTTTACAACCGTTGCAAATTCGAAGAACGAAGGGATCTTCGTTTTTGCCGTCTGTATCTCTTTCAATAAATCCGTTTTTGTCCAACAAAATTTTACGACCACTCTCATATGTACGGTGTCCATAAGCAAAGTCAATTTCAAAAAAAAGGGTTTTCATAATACTTACTAGCTTCGAGCAACAGCAAGTTTATTTCTCGCACAGAGACAGTAGTCGAATATTCATTAGAACACAAGCCAGAACAAACTGCACAAGGCAACTCCCTAAGTGAATCGTAACCAACACTCTCACGAAATTCCGCTAGTGCACCATTCGCAACGGTCTTGCTAATCAGTCTTGGCCAATCCGCATATCGTTCTTCCAGTAAATCGAATTTGTAAAACACGTAACGGAACATGTGCATCCATTGCTCGGATATCCTTTTCAACATAGATTTTTCGTTTTTTATCACATTGAATTTCACGTCGTTTACGTTTTCGCTCTCGTTCGTGTTGGCAGTAACCCACATCAGCTCGTCTAACAACTTTTTGTCACTTACGCTTTGATTTATAATCATCTAAAATTAAAATATCACCCCTAACAAACACAATCAAAAATTAGTACGTACTCCTAATAACTCGAAGTTCAAAATTTATATTTACATATTTAAGTATCGATTATTGCCTAATAGAACCACAATACTAAAAGCAATAGAACGAAAAAAATATTTTCTTATACTTGAACAAATAATGGATACAAAATAAAAATATTTATTTTCGTTAAATAAAAAATAAATAACTATATATTCGAAAATTTACTATTACAAA